GTGGGGGGGTGGGGTATCGTATCTAAACCATCCTGGCTCTGTGTGAACGTCATGAATTAACAGACTGACGGGACAGATGGAACAGAGGTCAGGGAAGGTGAGACTATGATTTGAAGGTTGCTGGTTCAACCCCCCTAGACCAAACAAAAAATGCTTTTCTCTCATTTACTTACTCCAGGTTCTTGAGCAAGCAATGCAGAGAATCATTTACCCCAAATGGGAATTAATAGATTACACTAAATTAAATTGATTAATTAATTCATTTTATGGAAAGCTGAATTTAATTTTACCAGCCATACCTCAGCCGTATTACTACCAAACCTGTAGAACCAAGAAATCATGGAGAAACCATAGAATGATGGTGAACTTTGGGCTTGTGTGGGTTTTCCACTCACAGACCAAAAGCAGGTGCACTAGGGTTGCCTTCAGGCCTGGGCCGCCAATACAACGGACATCTGTGTTCTCAATGGGACTTGCCTAGTTAAATAACGGTGAATAAAGAATAAATAAAAACTTTCCTAGTAGTGGTTGACCATGGTTAAATTTAGTACTAGAGCACATTGAGGCTTTATTCAGAACATTAAGGCCCTGCAGGCCTCACCTGCCTTAGTTCAATTTAGACTTCATGAGTCTGCATTAAAAACATCTCAATACCCAAGACTTTTGGTCAAAGACAAACAAGTGGAAGGTGTCCCAAAAAACTAACACTACATTTATATACAGGGTTCTTGGGTTAAGGGTTCCTGCGGATCCTTAAAAAAATCTTGAAAGTCATTGAATTCATCAATCCAAAAATAAGGCCTTAATTAGCCTTTAATATCTTAAATCCGTCTTAAAAATGTTAACACAGTGTAAAAATGATGACTGTAATGTGTCTCAAATATTTAAAAAAATGGTAATGTTTATTTTTTCAAATATTTACATGCAGACGTTCCCCTTTGACATCACTTCCTGTTACTTCACATGCAAATATCTCAACAACTGTCCATCTGAGCAACGTGAAATTTATTTTGTAAAATGTTAATAATGCTGTCTTTCCAAAAATGCATTCGTATGTCTTACAAAAAACTTGATGTCACAGGCTCTTTAAGGTTTCTTCTACAGCAAATTGGGGTTAAGACCCCACTGTGGGTCTTAAAACTCCAAATTTTAGGTTGTTTCCAGATATTCAGAAATTAAATTAAGTTTAAAACTGACTGCTAAAAATGTTTTTGCTATGTTTGATGAAAAAGCAGTTAGATATGGATAAAAACAATTGGTCTATTAGCAATATTATTTCAACCAAAAATACTTGTTTCATGAGTTTCTGCCACAGTTTTAATTTTTTGTCATTTGATTTGATTTAATTTCACTTGGCTTCACTTGGCATTAAAAAGTCTTAAATTTAACTTGCCTTATACTGTAGGAACCCTGTATATGTATGTATGTATATATATATATCATACTGACAGACATGGAGGTGGTAGTGTGATGGTCTGGACGACTTGCTTTTATTGATTTAAACCGTGAATTTGGCTGTCTGCCAGAAAAACCCTGACAAAATGCATCCATCAGTTTGTAACTTTAAACTGAAGACGAGTCATTCTGCAGGACATAACCTGAAGTACARCAGCAATATTCCTCCACAGCTGAGTGAAAAACTCATAAAATTTATCACAAACATTTGATGATGTTGCTGGGAACACTGACTCAACCAGTTTTTATGTTTATAGACTTATTTCTCCCAAACAGAATCAGCTTGGTTTAGACAGCTCTCTCCTTTTTGTGTGCCATTATTTGTTAGAGAATCTGAAGTGTRACAAAAATACAAAAACAGATCAAACCTATAAGTGGGTGAGTACTTCTCCT